GCTGCTGATGCCCCGTCTCCCCGTAGGTGCATTGGCCGCTGATGGTCCGTCCCCCGCAGGTGCGTCTGCTGCTGATTGTCCGTCTCCACCGCATGGCGTTGGCCGCTGACGGCCCGTCCCCCGCAGTTGCGTCGGCTGCTGATGGCCCGTCTCCCCACAGGTGCGTCGGCTGCTGATGGCCCGTCTCCCCGCAGGTGCGTCAGCTGCTGATGGTCCGTCTCCCCGCAGGTGCGTCGGCTGCTGATGGCCCGTCTCCGCGCAGGTGCGTCGGCTGCTGATGGCCCGTCTCCCCACAGGTGCGTCAGCTGCTGATGGTCTGTCTCCCCACAGGTGCGTCGGCTGCTGATGGCCCGTCTCCCCGCAGGTGCGTCGGCTGCTGATGGTCCGTCTCCCCGCAGGTGCGTCAGCTGCTGATGGTCCGTCTCCCCGCAGGTGCGTCAGCTGCTGATGGCCCGTCTCCCCGCAGGTGCGTCAGCTGCTGATCGCCCGTCTCACACTGCTGGAGCTGGGCACAGGGTACAGGCAGCTCGTGTAGATGCTGCTGATTCTGAGCAAGACCGCTGGGCGAGCGAGACTTGCTCTTGAAATTTCGGAAAATGTTCCTCTTTAGCACGGTCATCATGCCTGAGTTGATATTCTCACAAACTGGTCATGGTAGCTCCACGCCATATGTCAGTATGTCAGCCAATATCAACAAGGTTCTTCATCATCGCGTGACAGGCGTTTTTCTTACTTTTCCGGATGAGGAAACCTCCAACTGGTTCCATCTCTCTATTCTTAAAAACTGCAGTTGAAGTTCAGCGGGAAGACGTAGCGAAGAGCCGGAGCGCAGGTGCCGGAACAAAATAAGTGTTGTTTTGCGTGTTTCTGACCTTCAGGGCCATGTGCGTCATGGCAGTTCACAACGCAGTATTACATTTGGCACATAGAATCGCGTATCCTTGATAATTCATTCGTGGCTTCGAGCTATGACATTTCAATTCAGGCCATATTGACCGAGAATTGTGGGCATAGGTCACATCCCTCAATAATTAAGCAAGGTGGAGTATTGAAGAAAGTGAGCTTAATATGGTCATATACTTCAAGACAAATAAATAACTTCAGCTGCCTTGAATGTCGGTCCATTCTACCAAATACGGACGATAAGAGGCCGAACTCAGCGCCCTCAACATATTTATCTGTGGTATGTTTAACCTAACGTGTCTTCAGAAAGCCTGTTCTCACTGCACTTAAATGAACTGCTCCACATGTGAGGATATTTCAGTAAGCATCAAACATGGTGCAATAAACTCACATATCATAATCGGTATACTTTTCAATGAAAAAGAGTACTCTTCGCAGCACAACCTCTATATTTTGTAAACATGCTCCTTAACACGACATCGAAGTGAATTTAGATGACTTGGTCATAATAGTTATACACGTGATATTCGTGAAATAAGCTGTATTTTCTGTAACTATTTGGTTACAGTCCTTGCTGAGAGAACCAAAAAGCTCAGACGTAGAGCAAACACCAGATGCTAGCCAGCGTTGACACCGTTTTTTCCACAGCTCACACGTGACCAAACGATGCCAATTTTTGCAGACTGACGGAACAAATGACGATAAATCACCGGCCATAACATATACTAGTCATGCACAGATAGTGACTACATTACTCTCCAATATTCTCCAAGATGAAATATTTCTTCTAAGTAGGAATCTCAGTATGCGTGTGCAAAATGATTTACATGTTTTTCAAGAAGGTGGTCTATGTTTTTCCAAAATTTTAACAACCATTAGGTTCTCGCTATGCCACATCTCATGTTTTTATTTTTAGAAATGAGTTGATCTCCAATGGGAGCCTCAGAAGCTTTTTTCATATGGGATGCACTTGTTAAACAGTACCGAATGGGTCTTCTTGTTTCGCAAACATACGATACACTTTCACCCCTATCCGCACACATCAAACACGTTATGCAGTACAAAACTCAAGACATCAGACACTCGCCTTTCAAACCCGGCATGCATGCATCATAAAGTCATGCATTGCAAACTCACTCAACGAATATCACGTATATGATTGCTGCAAGAAAGCCATCTGAGCTCATTTTCATGCTCACCATGCCTTATATTCCACAAGCTTGGTACATCTTAGAGATATCAAATACGTCATTGTTTGATTGCGTCATCATACTTAGCTCAACAATGATTGAGAGCCAACTGACGACCGTTACATTGGGAAATTGTGCTACCGAAGGCCAGATATCAACGACTTGGCAATTACGTTTGTATTGGGCTTCATCGACACATGGCTAATTAACTAGCTGGAATTGAATAACGTTATTATGGTGTCATGATGCATGGGTGAGGTTGAAATGATCTCCTCGGAATAGTCTGCATATTTTTGTGGGAGTATAACTTGGAAACTAGAAGAGGTTGGGTTTTAGGAAGGGCAAGACTGTGAACTGCGCCGATGGCTATTTCAGTTCAAAACCCATGCAAATGTGGTGCATCTTTAAAGGAAGTGAATGATTGATTTCAACTCAGAACTTACTCCAGAAACATGGAACAGTCATTTTCAGTCACCAAAAGGCTCTGAGTGAAGGGTAGCAGCAACAGCAAGGATGTTATTGGGATTTATTGTCGGCAGCCAGTGTCTGTTCACACTACACATTCAGATATCACAGAAACTTTGTGATGTCTGGGCAGCGCGAGGCGCTTGTCTCTTGCAGTCAGGCATGAGAACATACTGATAGACTGGTTAGCATTGCATAATGTGAGTGATTCTTAAAATGATGTTAGAAAATCACGGGGCAAAATAACTTAAATGAAATAATTTAGACGATGAGGGATATATTTAATAAAAGCATCCCAATTACAACTTAAAACAGAGCCTTCGGGTATTCTGCGGTCACGCAGGTACCCTTAAACCAGGGGCGGTGAAGATAAAAACTGTTACTTCTGCACGTGAATTGTAAAAAGCAGGCATTTACTGTATATCTTCCCTCCGTGGACAGTCACGAACACAGACGGCGAAAACAGAAAAAAGAGTGGAGAGCAATGGGGGCTGGTCTCCCCGGCGAGCTTGAACATGATACGCACGTGGTTTGCCGGAAATAAATGGCTTAATAAATGTGTCCACCCACATCGTCTGCAGTGGTTCTTCCGAAAATTATCACTGTACACGAACTCCTGATGTTTAATTTGATGCATTTGTTGCGGGTCCATCATATTAAAGGCATATAGATATTTGGTCAGCAAAGAGCTTCAAGAGCCCATCGAAGTTGACCTACATCAGGTTCCCCACATATCCTCGAAACTAATCTTGCCAACTGACTTGCATGAAGTTAGCTATGAATGAGACCTTTAGACCGATAGAACTTGACCAAACGGTTTGTCATACATGTCTGGGTGAATTTCCCGTCAGCGTCGCATTACAGCCGGCACAAGTTCCTGTGGATCAAGCGCAGAAACAACTGGGTTTAAGATCTTAAACGGGATGTGACTGTGAACTGCAGAGAATGATAATGAAAATGATCATCTCAGCTCAAGAACCTACACAAATGTGGAAAAGCTCCTTTTTCCATCTCATTACAATTCATGTCAGCATCAGTATAACGTCATCCTACCTAATGACATGTACGTGCTTTATCTGGTCTTGTGTATATATGTCGCGCTGCCCCATACTTTTAAATCGGTGACGTGTATGTAATTAGCTACCAATGCGAGCCAAAAGGCGAGAGCCGAATCTTTTGTTGTTGTTTGCAAAAAGGCAGCTGACATTGCATGTTGACTGGACGTTACATCCTTCTATGCACATTGAATACATGTCTGCTGGAAATATAAATCCTGGAGAGTTGCCGTCATTTATGCGATCTATGACAAAGACACTTTAAAAGAGGCTTTCAGGTTTGTATTGTGTATATTTGCTTCTGGCATCGGTTTTTCCCACATAAATCACATTCAACATCACTGTTATCATCGTGAGACTAGCAGGTCTGGAGTTTTAACAATATTCTGTGCATCTTGCAATGCTATGAGAAACGTTTGTCCATCTTAAAACATCTAAATTTTAATGGCAAAGGTATTAGCTTATAACACATGCAAAGATGTCTTTTGTTGAACGCAGTCAATATTTCAGACGTAATTGATACGGGATGCATTCTGTCAGTCACACAATAAATTGCTTGAATGATGAATAACTGCAGAACAGCAACGAGATCTGGTGTTTGCGAATAAACTGGGGATTGGTTTTGTGTTATTTTATGTTATGTTATATATGTTATATGTTTTGTGAATGAAACATCGAGAACGAAGAGCCAGACTCTGTTCGTTTCAAAAGAAGCATTGGGGATCGGAAACCAAGGTCTGATTCTGTAATATAATTGGCAAGAATCAAGAACTATGAGCTGGTTTTTTGACAGAACCGATAAAATCCACAAGCCAGAGTCTGGTGTTTGCAAAAAACCTAATGGAAAGTGATATCATTAGTTCTGTAAAAGAACCAGTAGGAAGCAGGAACAAACGTCTGGTGTTCGCAAATTAACTAATGACACCTGAAAATCAGAATCTGGTGTTTACGAGTGAACAGGAAGAAACCAGGAGGTAGCCGCGTTTTCACAGAGAAACCAGTGCACGGTGAAGCAACACTGGGAACTATACACATGTCTGAACACCATCCCTTCGAGCTTCAGCGGATGTTTGCAGTGATGCCCATGGGGCACGATACGATAGCTGTCTGGAGCACCTGACGTCGTTATCACTCATGGTCTGGATAACACGCATGTTCATGTGCACCGCAGTACGGAGGAGATTGGAAAGAAAGGACCTATTGCACATGCTCATCGTTACGTAATGACGAATTTAACCCGTTGGTCAATATTGGGCTTGACTGTACTCCACGCGCATGCGCTCTGCAACAGTGTGCTCATCTGTTGACAGCGGGACGACGGCAGCCATCTGCCAACCTGACATCGCCGAGGCTGGCGGATCAACAAACGAGAAGCAGCAATCAGAAGGTGGGTGCCGTGTTCGAGCTCGAACTTCTTCGCGGAAGCTCCATCGCCTTGCAAATTTAGATCCGGCCCTATGACCCCATTTCCGTGAAATATCAAGCTCCCGCTCATTTGTTCCTGTGCGATTTGTCATCTTGATGGCGATCAGGGCTGCAAGCCGGCGAACCTCCCTACAGTTAACCAAAAATGCTGCAACCTTACCGGCCCGGCCCGTTCAGTCACGCTCTCGACGGGATTGCATGTTCACGGCAACAGGTCATACCGGCCTGACGTCTTCATTGACTAGCGTGCTTTGAGGCCATTTCGATTCAAGCATTACAAAAAATCCACCGGCGGTATAACGGTTTCGGAAGTTGATGCGATAATTTGTGCGTTTTTCAGCTTTGGAAGGTTATTGGCCACGTAGATATGATGGCACAATGCACCCTGGTAAAATGTCGTGCTGCTAAGCGTGGCGTAGCACGAGTGCGACGTATCACACTGGTGACGTGGCAGGTGAAGCATATATGAACGGCAGTCCATACATGTTTCATGTGAACATGCTTCGGTAGTTTCCAGTCCTTTCAGCTCGTTTGGGTCCACAGCTAATGCATTTCGCTGCCAACACTTGCGCAGAATTCTCCGCTTCAGTCCAGCCCAGGTAAAGGCTCGTGGGTTATCTGGGAATTTGTATTACTGTCGGGGATTTATCTTGCGCGCACACACACACACACACACGCCAGCAAATAGCACAGCATTTAGATGCATGCCGCCAAAGCCACCTTACTGGTTTCTCTTACGCTTAGCGCTCTTCCGAAATAATTGCTGCTTCATGTCTGGGAGCCATTACAACCGCCATCCCACGTTCGCTCCACGAGCGGACATTCCAGAATTGGCGGCGGGTCACAGCTCAGTCATCACGTACCCGCAACCATGGATATGATGCATGTTTTTGAGGGAAACGTAAAAACTGATGTGGAATTGTAGTATGCAAAACATAATGAAATATGCAGCTATTTTTGTACACTCTCGGTCAACTATCATCACGTGTTATCACCACTTGTACCGTCGCGTTTTTGCAGTGGCTTTAGAACGCAAAAAGACACCTGCAGCGTTGTGTATATTTTCTATTCACTGCGTATCTTGAAACATTCTGAAAAAATGTCCCTTGGATGATAGCGTCATGCTATCATGTTTTACGCACTGCCGTGCTTCATATATGGCGATGTTGAAGACACTTGAAAGACAATTTGTAAAGAATTTTGCTTTCATAATTATATTTTAATGCGGCGCCATTATATCTTGGATACCATTTAGTTAATCTGCCAAAATGTTGATCATGCGTTGTCGACTACCACAAATTTTTGCCACGGAAATATGTTTTATATAATAAGGGAAGCCAAAGCAGCTTTATTGCTATATGTGCAGCCTTGAGCAATTCTCAGAATTCAAGGTGGCAGACGCCGCCATCCTAGATGACAACCAGTTTTGCTACTTTTATCTGGATCGGGAGTGGGTAGTCGGACTTGCAGCAACCAATTTCCAGATATTACCCCTAAGTGTCCGTGGCCGTGCTTTCTGCATCATTGCCGATTAAAAATATGCGTTTTACGCTTTATGGCTTTTAATACTGAAAACCTCTTAATAATAATAAATTTCAGTAGTTAAAGAACAATCTAAAAAACAGCTGCAAGTTCAATATATGGCAGTAATGACTACTTCTTTCAAAAATGATGTCACTTGACCTAGCCGATGCACATTGGTCTAGCTTGGTCTGCAATGACGTTTAAAATTGCGAACAATTTGCAGACATGTATGCAGGAAAATTATGGCAGGTGGCGAAGGATGGCGCCAATGTGGACGCGGCCCCTACCCGATAGGTTTTCATTAGATGTCAGGCGATTTCGCAGGAATTTGCTCCAAATTTGCATGACCTCGGCATAAATTTGGCAGCTGGCCCCGTGAGGTAAAGCCTGGCTACGTACCTGAGCAAATACCACTTAACCCACTTAACACTTCTTGGGCATTGTCTCGTTCATTTTCACGATGCGCTAAAAGGTCATAAAGGCAGTCACGAATTTTCTCTCCCCGTTAGAGATAGGCTTTCAACACGCAGCTCACATGAAAATATGCAACTTAAGATATATTTTGCTTTAAGTGCACCGCGTTGTAGCACGTCATTCATGTAACCTGAATAAATCTTCTTTCACTTACTTGTTACCACTTTTCAGGCTCGTAACATTCTTATCGCTGTTTGCATAGAAGCTGCATTTACTATCCCTATGGAGATGCCCAGGGGCAGCACTGCCAGAAGGGCAAGGGGCAAACGCCTCCTCGCCATACGCCTAGGGGAAGATATAGCCCTTACTCCCCCCCCCCCCCCCCTTCCTGTCGCCTGAGAGCCCACCCTTGATCATCGTCTCGTGACCTTGACCGCCTGTTCAGCGACAGTTGAATGCAGTTTCATCCTGTGGCAGGAGCTGAAAGCTTTCTCTCGCTTATTGGTGGCAGGACGGGAGAAGACGCAGCAGCAGGGTGTGACGTGAGTCGCCTTCGCCTGGATCGATGGGATCCAGGTCATGCTGCAGTCGCTCTTGTCAGTCTAAACGCATCACGTCAGAGGACGTTCGGCTGCGGCAGCTTAGAGGCGCACCAAAGCTGGTGGCGGTGCAGGCATGGACGAGGCGTGTGAACTGTGCGATTCTCAAGCAGCGTGTCGTTGGGATGTTTGCATCTCCGACGATTTAAATGGCCGGATTTACGTGCTGCTCTTATCATTCTATGAGCAAACAAAAACTTGGAATGGAACGTCCAAGCCTTAGCGTAACTGGGGGTACAAATACATGAAATATCACTCTGCGAAACTTTTGTCATTGTACATACACGCGTGCATACATTATTACATTATATGGCCAGCTGGTCTAGATGATAACGCACCTCTGACAAGAAGCTGCGAAACTGCGATAAGATTTTCCGCTTGCATGAGGCAAGAAACGTTCTTTAACGTTGGGAGGGGAGGGATGCTAGCCATTTTGATTATTTTTTTCTAGTCAACGCCCACAGGGCCAATGGTTTGCTTTCGGAAAGTTGTGGGTTCCACCAAGTGCCTCCACCTTTGGTTCTCACGCCTGCACCTTACGGTTGTGCAGCGTTAAGAGCATGAGGAATTTACATGACGTTGATCATGTACGGGAACGCCAGGTATTAAACGAATGGTCTCTAACCTATTTCTTTCTTGCTGACGTGCCGTAATGGTTTACGACCTTGTCTCTTCTATCAAATTTGCTGGCGCTGCCCCCGGGCCTGAATGATTTCGCTGATGATGATGTCAAACTTTCAGAGGCAGAGCTTATATCATTACGTTCTCTCCATTGACGTGCATCAACGCTCTTTCCTTAAGTAACGCGAAGGGCACCGGATATGCTTCTACCAGAAGGGAACGAAATAGTCCGGTGGGTACAGCAGGTAATGCGTCTAATGTGAAAGGGTTACATCCGTCCTTAGTTAAAGAAGTATTCCACCTTTTGTGCACATTTCAGAAAAGTGCTCTGGTGAAATTTCAGGACCAGTTGCGCCTAACAGAAGCACCGTGTAGTGACACTGCAGCATCAACAAGACTTAATGAGGAGGTTACTTTCTAGTGTTTCCGGGTTCAAATCATGATGGTCATGTTTCGTTACACCACTATTTTCTTCCCCTCCATCCCAAGAGTGCAGCCCTAGCTCGTGATAACCGACGACCGCAGGATCTTCCGAGGGTCGTCGTCAGCTGTTACGGACCAAAAGTACCACTTTTGGGCTACATTCTGGGCTTTAGGGATAAATTGTTGCACTTCTACTGGTCTTAATGTCGTCAGTCCACATGGTTGTTTGTGATTGGCGCAGCGGGAGGTGCGAGCTATTTACTGAAATGCGCACTGGTTGCGCTTCGAAAATAGTCACTGGGCAAAAGAGCCACACGCCGTAGGTGAGAGATCAACCCCATGGTTTGACGTGTCGTTAAATTCATGAGATAACGCCCTCATATTTGCATATTGCTTTTTCTAGGTAGAGGTAAGGTTTGGAAGAATTTAGTGTGCGAGCATTTTGACCACTTAATGTATATCAGACATTACGTAAAACACACGTTGGAAGCTGCAAGACAAAGGAAAAATATTACCTTAATTGTGGTCAGCAGGGAGTCAAACGACATTTCTTCCGTCGGAGCGGCCACGTCAACTTGAAATTCTGAGCTGTACAAAAGGATTTCGAGAAAGCTGTTATTACTGATCAAAACGTACGCATCTGATCTAAAAATAAGTGAAGAGTACCAGGAAAGCGCTATACTCCCGTTAAGGACGTGAACTACCACGCGGTGAGCCTAAGCCAAATTCCCAGTTGAAATTATGGGCCCCCACTCAGACCCAGAGCTCTATTCTTCTTGGGCTTTGGGACGTTCTCGTGTCATGGGCTCCTGTGAATCTATGTTTATGATGCCACTCAACTCGGTTTGAGGGCACCCTCGGTCTGGGGTTTTGATATTACGCTAACTTGTCATGGGACACCCTTCAATCGCCACTTCGAACGATTGTTCCACACTTGAAGATGCCGCAGCAGGCATCAGACATGATGAAATAAGCTCATTTATAGCTGCTTTTAACATGATTTAGGTGGAAACAACTTCTTTAGACAACAGTTTTTCTATGAAGTACGTCAATACGTCCATTTTTGAAGTACGTCAGTGCGTCTCAATATGTCTCTCTCCCCAATACGCCATTGTTTGATTGAGTCATTGTACCTTGCACAACATTGATCATGCGACAATTGGTTGGGAGCCAATTGATGGTCATGATACCTGGATATTGCCTTCATGAACGACGAAAGTGAACGGCGCGACAACTATATCTTTGTTGGCCTTAGTCGTTGCATGGCCAATGGAATGCCAGAATTTGAATGACGTTATTATGGCGTCATGGATGCCAAGGTGACCTTGAAGTAGTCTGCACGAAAAGGTGTGCACATATTCGCGGGCACGTAGCTCAGAAA